ATATATCTATAAACTAGTTATAGTCTTATACAAACTATCTGGATTAGAAGTTTAGCAAAATTTAGAAATATACTAAAGTATTAAAGATATACTATAAAGTAGATGCTAGAGTCTGAGTGAACTCTATAAGAGCATTATAGTTAAATAATAGAACTCTAATTACAAGTATTAGTTCTGCTATAGTGATATCTAAGTTAGCTATAAAAATAGGCTTTAAAAGATTTACCTTAAGGATAAAATAGTCTTAAAATTAAGATAATGATCTGAATATCTGAGTATAATCCAATAAGTTAATACAAATTACAAATTTAGAAAGTTTAAAGTAAAACATCTAAACAGAAGTATTAAATATAACAATTGGTTGAGAACTTTTGGATGAACTTTTTAAATAATTAATATAAAAAAGTTATATATATAGCTAATTGTATACTCTTCTGTAGTAGTTTATTAAATTACATTATCAAAAAGTTATTAATAAAAGTCAAAAAACCAAACAGGTTACCTTAATATCAAAAAATATATATATATATTTGAATTAGTAGTAACTAAGATAATTAATAGAATAAATAAATACAGAAACCAAAATGTTTAAATAGAAGAATGATAATTCTAGTATAGTAATTAGTTTGTTATTCTCTAAGTAACAAGTCTAAAGTTTAAATTTCATTTATAATAAAATTTAAAAATTAACTTGTATTATAAAAACTGTTTTCTTCTTGTGCAATTATAATCCAAATATATCAAGTCAAATTTTACTTATTATTAGAAGCTTAGAATATTAATATGAAATATAAAATTATATATATAGAAGAATGTTAATAACCAGTATTGTATAAGATTTTAGTACAAATCTATAATAAGACTACCAAGTGCAAAAGACTAAGAAACTAAGAAAACAGAATTTTATTTGAAAATTATTGAGTAAAAAAGTAGTACAAACTTTTAACAATATTGTTAAACTGATAAAAGTCTATAAAACACCTTTATAAAAATAGGCAAATAAACTAAATAACAAAGATATATAAAGAAGCATATAATCAACTAGGCTACTAGAATTGCCAAAAGAAAATAATACTAAGATATAACATACTAGGCCATTTGGATTAGAAGTTTAGGAAGTTTGTTAGTTCTAAGTTGCAATTAGTAGATGATAAAAATAATATTAGAAAGATAGATACTGGTGTTTAAGTAAACTTTACAAGTGCAAAAATAGTATAATATAGCAGTTTAAGATTAACTTTGATTGCAAGTATTAGATAACTATAACATATTATATAAAACTAAGTTAGTTGTATATAGAATACAGAAAGCTCTAATAATAATACTTCTAAGAATACATTGTATAAAATAAAGTATAAGATCCTAAGAGTACAAGTCAGCATTTAGACTTTTTTGACTAATATATATATTTGAGATAATCTAGTAACACAGTAAGAATTGCAATACAAAAAGTTTAAATAAGCAATGCTTCTAGTTGGATTGCAGATATAATAGCTAGTATAAAACTATTAGCAGACTACTTAAATTAAATATCAAAAATATATATATAACTAGTTATACTTTCTAATATAAAGATGACTTCTTTAAGACCTTAACTATGAGTTTCTATATTCTAATTACTGAATAAAAAACTTTAGCCTTAGTTTAATATAAAAAAAAAATTTAAATAGAAGATTTATAAGCAGCTTCTAGATATAATAACTAATATAAAACCTTTAGATAAACTACTTAAATTAAATAATAAATAAAGTTATATAAAAAAAAAAGTGATGACCTAGTGAAGTAGTCAGGTTGTCAATCTTCCAAGTGGTAGATTGGGTGTTCAAATCTTATTGACAGTGAAAATTTGAATAATTACTTATATAATATTTGTATTATATTAACTGTTACTAATAATTGGATTAAAATATCTGTAATAGCAATCATACTAGCATGACTAGCAGGTTATAGAGCATCTGTATAAGTATGATATTATACAGAGAAATGCAAACTAACAAATCAGATAGTGCAAACACTAGATAAATTCTTGTGACTGTATAAATTCATTAAAATTAGATAACAAGAAGTCTATTTAGAAAGACCCAAGTAAAGAGATAGCTAGATTTTTAATGGCCTTATTGTAAAGGCTAGCTTAAGGAAATGGATATCAAGATCATAGTACCTGGTTATAGTAGCCAGATGGACAAAAACCTCCAGGTTAGAAGTCTTTGAGATATTATCAACTAGGCCATTAGCATGAACTGGAAAAAAAGGATATTGGGCTAATCTGATATATTGATAAACTGGTTGTAGTTTTACATAAGCTATTTGAATTAGAAGTTTAGTAAAAAGACAGATTAAAAAGCAGAGATATACTAAAGTACCAGGGTTATGCTATAAAGAAGATGCTAGAGTCTAAGTAAACTCTACAAAGATATAGTAATTTAATAATTAAATCCTGATTGCAAGTGTTAGTTCTGTCATAATGATACCTAGGTTAGTTGTAAAAATAGGTACAGAAGGCTCTAAGGAGTTTACCTTAAGGATAAATTAGTCTTAAGATTGAGACAATAGTCTGGGCATCTGGGTATAAACCAGTAAGTTAATACAAGTTATAGATTCAGAAAGTTTAAAGTAGAACATCTAAACAGAAATATTAGGTATAGCAATTAGTAGAGAACTTTCGAATAGACTCCTTAAATAGGTAATATAGAAAAGTTACATATATAGCCAATTGTATACTCTTCTGTAGTAGTTTATTGAACCACAATACTAATAAGTGATTAATAAAAGTCAAAGACCAAAAAGGTCATCTTAAAAAAAAAAAAAAAAACCAAAATTATATAAATAATTAGTTGTATTTTTTTAATTGCATTCTATGATTGTTGTAATGCAATTATTAAGCTAAAACATATTACTAAAAAAACAAGAAGAGTGTAATAATTTAGTGAAGTGGATAAGTTGTCATCTTCCTAAGTAGTAGATTGTAAGTTCAAAACTTACCAATGGTGAAATTTGGATAATTATTTATATAATATATAGACAGTATTATAGCAATAATATTCTGTTTATCAGTTAAGATAGGATATCTGTAACTATAATTACATTAGCATAACTGACAGATCTGAAGCATCTGTATAACCTGTTATACAGAGAAATGCAAACCAGTATCAGGCAATACAAACTTAAAATAAGTTCTTGGACTGTATAAATCTGTAAAACTAGAAAGTTGAAACTTACTTGGAAATTTTGAGCAAAGAAGTAATATAACCTTTGATGATACTATTGTAAAGGCTAAATCTAGGAAATAAATACCAATATAGAGGAATTGAGCAGACAAGAACCTTAGGTAAAGAGTACTATCAATCAGACTATCAGATTTTAGATTGGAAAAAAAGAATATTAAACTGGTTTTAATATACTAAGAACAGATTATAATCTTTTCAGACTATCTGAATTAGAAGTCTAAAATCAAAACAAGAATATATTAAAAGTACTAGAAATATGCTATGAAATCAGTACCAGAATTTGGATAAACTTTGTAAAAGTAATCTTTATTAATGTTTTAAAAGTGAATAGATAATTAATAATAAAGAGTTTTCTGTGTCTTACTAAAAGATGTTGTACTCTGAAATGTATAATAGCCTAGGAACCAGTACAAAAAAAGTAAGTACCATACTGCTCAGATGATATATCAGTTAGGTATATACAGAAAGTTAGTTAAGGGTACACAAATGATCAAAAGATTTAAATAAATAATCTTCTAGTAGATTATAGATATGACATTTAGTATAAAACCTTAGAGCAGTTTATTTAAATAAGCAATTAAAAGTTGAACATGTAACTAGTTGTACTCTCATCTTTGTAAAAATAGTTGTAATAACTAACTCAATAAAAGTCAATAAAGTATTACTACAAAGTATGATCTTTAATAAAAAAAAAAAAAAAAGACTGTTAGTATTTGAAACTTTTTATTTTATAGGATTTTTTATTTTGTTAAACTAATTTGTGTTAATCTAATTGAATATACCTTACATAATTAGGTCCTAAAACATTTTTTGATCTTACTTATTTATAAAAAACTCTTTGTTATACTTTAAACAATCAATAAATTTTAAGTTGCAAATACTCATCTTAACATTAAAAAAAGAAAAAAAATTATAACAAGACTGCCAAAAAAAAAAAAGGTTAACCAAAATTTTGCAAATAATTTTTTTGTTAGTACACAAAAAATGATTTCATAAGTAAAATTTTGAGTTACAAGTAATTTTTTAAAAAATCATAATTCTTAAATTCTGATTGGTCTCTTATCATTATTTTTTTTTTTTTAAAAAAAAAATTTTGATTGGTTAAATGAATTTCACAACCTGTAAAGATTAGCAATACCCGTATTCTACCGTAAATAAGCACCACACCCTCTACCCCATTTTTTTAAATGCCAGATTAGCGGAAATAACTTGGCTAAAGATCTCATTGCAATGTCCGTTAATCTGACATTTAAAAAAATGGAGTAGAGGGTGTGGTGCTTATTTACGGTATTCAAAAAATATTAATAAATTTGTAAATTGATAAAAAAAACAATTTTAATTAATATATAATAAGTTATTTTTATAATAATATATATAATTCTAAAAATATATCATTCATTAGCACCATTAATATTAAAAAAATAAAAAACTATCATTCATAAGATTTAATATTATTAATAAGCTTTTTATCAGAAGTGATACACCAATGAATCAAAGGGTAAGTCTGTCGCTTCGCTCCAATTTAGCGCTATGATGTCCTACATGTTACTATTTTTTTTAGCAAAGTATCTAGGTAAGGTGATTTCCAAAGATACCCAAGATACTTGTGAAGAACTTTCTATATTATTATGAACGACGGTTACTAAATTCAATTCTGTGACCGGACTAATATTCTGTCATACCTTGCTCGCAACGCGTGATTATAACTTTGGTCCAATTAGCATATTAATATTATTTTTTTTTTTTTTTTTTTTTTAAGTTCTCTTTTATTAGATTTCTGCTTATAAGTCTTACACCATGACAACCGTTTCACCTACACAATTTACATGTATGCGTAATAATAACTCAAATTATATAATATTTGCTTTCCGCTTTAAGAGGTTTAATAATCCATGGTATATTTTACATATAGATCGATCTTTTAACAACTTAAGCTTAGTTTTGGGACATCCTACTTATCAAACCGTTAAAAATTTCCAAGAGTAAGTAGTCATATATTATTTATATTTCCAGTATAATTCGTTTTTTTTTTAGTATCAATGATTTGTTTATTGTTCCTAGTGGCAATATTAAGACCTTTCAGTACAGCAAGGACGGTGGATATCTTAGTTTGGCGTCACCAGAATGGTAATTCTTACTACAAATACTTGATCGCCTGTTTGACTAAATTATAAAAACTTATTTTAATTTATCGGATCGGTCAATGCAGCGTAAAGATCATAGACGCTGAAACTGCAGAGCCTCGTAGCGAAATTGAAAAGAAAAATATTGTTGAAATCGGGTTTTCCCCAAAGGGGACTTATATCTCTACTTGGGAAAGACCAGGTAACATCATTTATTCATTTATTAAATTTATACTAAAAGGGTTATTAAATATTTATGTGTGTCATTTATAATTAGTTAAGCTATCTGATAATTTGGTACACAAGAATTTAATTGTATGGGAAACAGCAACTGCGCAAATGTTGATTCAATTTACACAAAAGAGTCAGGCGAATTGGTAATAAAATTGGTTGATTTGAAAATATATTTTTATTGATCCATTCGTTCTTAATTTTCATTTACTAATTTGTATACTTGTTAGGAATGTTCAATGGACTGAAGATGAATCGTTTTTTAGTCGTATGGTGACTGGTGAAGTTCATTTCTATGATAGCAAACGTATTGACAAAGGGATTCATACCAAGTTACGGTTAGAAAACATCGTTGATTTTTCTCTGTCACCCGGAAAAAATCCTTTCATAGCAGTATTTGTTCCAGAAAAAAATGTATGCTGATTTTTTTATTGTTTCACATATGGTCAGCAAGAGTTATCCTAAATTGATTTACTATATAAATATTGTATCGTAGAGTGCTCCTGCATCTGTTCGTATTTATTCGATAACCAACTTTAATTCTCCATTGGCACAAAAAACTTTTTTTAAAGCCGATAAAGTTCGAATGCATTGGAACGATCTCGGTACGAACTTGTTAGTTCTAACACAAACTGAGGTGGATAAAACGAATAAATCTTATTACGGAGGTAATTGGCAATCTCTTACACTCAACAAAGTTTATTGATAAGTAATGGTGGTAACTCAACATGGCGCGTGCTAAGAATTAGTTTGAACTTGAAACAGAGACCAACTTATATTTTCTATCCGTTGCTGGACACTATGATTGTTCTGTTCAACTTAGTAAGTATTGAATACATTATTCTTTTTTGTACTTGTTATATTTATTATTTTCATTACTTATTATACCTTAGAAAAGGATGGTCCAATACATGACGTAGCTTGGAGTCCAAACTCTAAAGAGTTTATAGTGGTTTATGGATGTAAGTTCTTACTATAATTTAAATTTCCAATTTGACATATATTCTGTTATTTCATTATGTAATTCATTAACTTTGATAAAGATATGCCTGCCAAAGCAACATTATTCGATCATCGTGCAAATCCCATACATGAATTCGGCGTCAATCCTCGTAACATTGTAAGGTTCCATTCTCAAGGAAGACATATCCTTTGCTTAATTAGCGTGTTAATCTTTTTTTTTTTTGATTCATTCGTTCGAGCTTAAATATTAGATACTTAACATTAGAATTTGATAATAATTTACTGATATTAATAGCCGGTTTTGGAAATCTTGCTGGAACAATAGATATTTGGGATCGCGAAAATCTGAAAAAAATATCGACCATAGAAGCTCCTAATTCATCTGAATGTTTTTGGTCACCTGATGGTCGTTATATAATGACTGCGACTCTAAGTCCTCGGTTACGAGTTGATAATGGCTATAAGATTTGGCATTATACCGGTGTACTAGTGCGTGATGAGAGTATTCAGGAATTATTACAGGTTCGAAAGTTAATTTAGATAGTGGAACGATCACGTTTATACTCTCATAAACATCCGTCACCTTTGAAGATAGTCGATACTTTATCGCACTTATAGTACTTTGATGGTTTTCAAACGGGTGAACTTATTTAAAATCTTAATAGTTGCCTAAAGTAATGGGTTACGCGTAGAGGGTTATAAATATGAAGTGATATATATTCTTTAAGCCATAAACTTACGATCATGTTATTGCTGTGATAGATTCAATGGAGACCAGCTAGTGTAGAACAATATCCTATGCGTACCTTATCACCACCACCTAAAGCTTCAGAGGATTCTGTTGCATTTGCTGCGAAACCTTCACGTAATCCATCGTTTTATTTATTATGTAAAAGGGCAATTTTCTGGGCTGTAAAGTTACTGGTAATTTACCGTAAATTATCGATAATTTACCAAACCCATAGGTAATTTACTGGTAATTTACCATAAATTACCGATAATTTGCCAAACCCCATAGGTAATTTACCAGTAATTTACCAATTACCAAAATTTTACAACCTTGGTAATTTTAAACAGAAAATTGACTGTCACTTAACATTTTAAGCAGCCAAGAAAGTAGGTGCTTATCGACCTCCACATGCACGTGGTACTGCAACACCAGAGATGTTTAAGGTAATTTTTATATTTAGTATATTAAATTGAATTTGGCAATCTTGTTATTAATAAGTGCATTGGAAATTCTGATAGCGTGAGGATGAATCAAGTAAACGATTACATACGCAAGATCATGGAAATAAATCTATGATAGTAGGGGCATCTGAAGGTATGTATTTATAATGATCTATATTACACATGCTTTAAACCATGTGGTTAATTATTGTTTTTAGTAACTACGAAAGCTGCTGTTAAAAACAAAAAGAAGCGCGAAGCGGCAAAGAAAAAAAAGGAAGAAGCAAATCTTGTTTCTGAAACGAGTAGTACGCATTGATTATATTTTCCTATATGTCAATCACCTTCAATTAAAACAATTCACACTACCTTTGATATCTAGATGTAGCATCATCGTTACCGCAATCGCCAACACTGATTCAACAGGTCGTTGATAATGATATAATAGATGTTAATGTTATTGATTCAGCTAAAGAACCAATAGTATCAACTATATCAACAAATGGTACATCTCAGGGTGGAAGCTTATTATCAGAAACAGACAAAAAGATTCGAAATTTAACAAAGAAGTTAAGACAAATTGCTGAACTTAAAGAAAGACAACAGAAAGGGGACAAATTAGAGCTGACACAAGTATGTACATTCGTCTGCAATAAATTACTGAAATGGTCCTTTTTATATTAGTGAAGTATATAAAAAGAGAAATTTAGTTGTTTTAATGAAAGTTTTTAATTCTATGGTGCAACTCATCCAAAGACATCCAAAATTGTAACTCTTGATGAATATTCAGAATTTTGTGAAAGGAACGCATTTCTTTGTGGTCCCGCATAAGACCTATGAAGTATTTCATTTTTTACTTTTATTCATCGAGATACAATTTAATATACATATTACAGAAATTTTTGAAGATTAATATTCAGCAATGTACTATTTGATCGTCATCACACTGAAATATTACGATAACTCCTTAAATTAAGTGGCGCGGATTTGATGCGATAGATGATTCGCACCATAATATTAACTTCAATTAATTACGCTTCTTAAAATAATTTTTCATTAGTTAATAAATCAGAAATTTGTCCTAAAAATTTTAAGAAGCGTAATTAATTTAATATTAATAGAATTAAAACTTCCTTTATATACTTTGCTAATAAAAAAAAGGATCAGTTCGTAATTTACAGTAGGTATGTTTATTATAAAATAGCACTTAATCATTAATTCAACATCTAATTTTATACGTTGTAAAAAACAGTTACAAAAAATCGCCACTGAGGCTACGCTACGTAAAGAATTGGACATGTTAAGACCTTAAATTGTTTATGCAAATAATTAATTATATTATGCCTTTGGTTATTTGAATCTTGCCGTGATGTTTTTAATAACTGTTTTGGCAAACATATAATTGTTTATCACATGAGGTTAAATATATTTATACATCCGTTTTGTATTTATATTAGCCGACATTTTAAATGCAATAAATATATTGCCAAAAAGGTTTAATAGTGTGATCGACTAAAAGGAATGAAAGTGTGTAGTTTAAAATGGACAAGCTATACACAAATCTTGAAAGGTATTTTTTTAGAATCAGAAGTTATATTAATAGCATTAGTTGAAATAGCAAAGTTTAGTACTATAAAATTCAGGCAAAAATTGGTACAGTACCGGACAGTAAAACACATACAATGTTTGTTAATAAAAACTTTAAAGTACTATAACTTTTTAAAAACAAGTTATATCAAAAAACCATTTAACAAATTATAGATTTTTAGATAAACTACATTTCTGTTAGAATTTTTTTTTTATTCTTTATTTTAAAAAAGTTATAAAGGATTAAAGTTCATATGAGTTCAAAAAATTGGTGTTTATTATAAAAAAAAAAAAGCATATATATATTTTTAACCAATCAAACTCAATTATACAAAAATTAGTCAATCAAATTTGATTATATATGCTCCTAAAATTGGTGCCTATATGTATAGATTGGATGTCTTTTACTTTTTTATATTATATTTTTTTTTCAGTATTAAGGTAATCTTTTTGGTCTTTTGATCTTATTAATATTTTTGTCAAGCATCATCATAAGCATACAACTGGTTACATGTATAACTTTTTTATATTATCTATTTAAGAAGTTTGTTTAAAGGTTTCCTACTAATTGCTGTACTTAACATCTTTATTTAGATGTTTCATTTAAATTTTTTGATTTGAACTCTTGTACTAAATTTGTTAGAATATTTGTATTTAGATTTTTGTTTTAATTTTAAAATTATAATTTTTAAGATTATTTTTATTTTGAAATAAATCTATTAAAGTAAGTTATATTTTTTTTTTAACTATTAACCTGATTTTTTACTATAGTCAGAACCAACACTTGCAGTTAGGATTATTTATTAAATTGCTTTTGCATTTGTAAAGTTTATTTAAATTTAAATATTTATCTTTTCAATATCATTTTTATCTTCTTTTACTAACTATTATTTAGAACTAATAGGATTTTTTAAAATTTTAATTTAGAAGCCTAGTATGGCATATTTATATATACTTTTTTCTCTAGCAATTCTGACAGCCTGGTTGATATATATGTTTTTATTATATATCTGTTATTCAGTTTATTTGACAATTTTTTTGAAAATGTTTTATGACCTTTTATTGGTTTAATAGTATTATTAAAAGTTTATGTTATCTTTTTACTTAAGATTTTTAAATGAGTTTTTGTTTTCTTAGTTTTTTGGTTTTCTATATCTGATAGTCTTATTATAGATTTGTATTAAAGCCTTATATATTACTAGTTTTTTACATTTTTTATGTATATGTAATGTTATATTTTACATAGATGTCTTAAGTTTTCAATATCAAATAAAATCTAACTTAATGTATTTAAGATTACAATACCTAAATCTAACTAATTAATAAGAGACAGTTATTATAATACAAATATAATTTCTAAAATTTGTTATCTATAAGAATTGAATCTTAGATTTGCCACTTAAAGGTTAATAATCTATTCACTTTACTAGGTTATTATACTCTTTTTTCTATACTATATAAAAAGCAAGAAATTAATAATTTTATAGTTAAATATTAAAAAAATAAATTTAGTATTAGACAGTTAAAGTGTAAGTTATTAAAACTTAAGTAATATATAAAGACAAAAACTACTTTATCAGATTTATATAAAAATAATAAAAACTTTTTATTATATAATTAAAAACAAATAAAGATTTCAATTCTAAATATATTCAAATCTATTTAAACTTCAATTATTATTTTTATAAATTAATAAAAACTATTTAAAATTAGTTTAAAAATAAATATATTTTAAAATTAATATAAAAACCAAATATTAATTAATTGTTCAATAGAAATTGATAAAAGATTAATAAGAAAAATAATAGATTAAAGAGTTTATATAATACAAATTACTTAAAAATTTTTAAATTATAACTTATTAATAAATACTTAAAATTTTTAAAATTAAACATTAAATTATAGTTCTAAATAAGTTTTACAAAATTATAGTTTTTTTGCAAATTTGAACTTATTTATTAAAAAGTTATAATTTATAATATAATATGTTTTTAAATAGTAAAAAGAATCATATAAAGATCACTATTAATATTTAAAAAAAATCATATAAAAGTAAGTTAATAGAATCAAACAAATTGTTTTTATTAAAATTTTTTTGAAACTTTAAACAATAACTTAAAAACTTAATCAAATTTAATATATTTTTTAATAATAAATTCTACAAACTTGTAACAATTATTTTAAAAAAGTTTTATTAAATTTGATAAAGTTTTAATTAATTTATTTTTGTTTAAAGTTTCAAAAAATTTATTTAAAAAAAATTTGCTTGATTGCTATTGTTATAGGTGAAAGCCTTCTTAATTTTCACACTATAATGACGACATGACACAGGGAATCCCTTACGGGTATATGCGGTGTCCAAGAGGGAAGTATAGCTTCTGTTAGACATTGTCAAGAAACT